ACATGAAACTGCAGTTAGGACTGAAGTGTTCTTGTGAAGGTTTAGAAAGTTTCCAAAATGATGAGTGTACTCTCATCCTTTCTGCCAAGTTTATTTGTAATTAAGTGTCCATTTGATGAAAACAGAAAGGAAGTCTTAGAACTTTGGGTCCAATTTTCAGGGCATTTTGGATCTAGGCATTAGATTTTATGTGGAAAATTTATTCAGGCCATTTTGTTGTTTTAAAATACTTAGTTCATTGGGTAAAGAAAAAGGAGAGGAAGTGAACTTTAAATGAATCACTGAAACTAATGATTATTAATGGTATTTGTAAATGATAAGCAGAGGAAATGAGTAGTAATATGATATTTGGAATGGTAGCAGCTGGCATTCCACAGTCATAAGAGGTAATTGAGAATGGACTATGACCATGGCAAAAATGCTTTAATTTGTAGACATATTAAAATATGCTTTTTTCATGAAGCATGAGACTATCAGTTTAATGTCTAACTTGAATATTAGCTATACTTTACAAGGTTTTGAACAAGATTATGTCTCTAGTCTTAAATATATTTTACTCTTACTTTAGGTGACTGTCCATCCTAATTTGCCTGGGGTTGGGAGGTTTCCTGGACATAGGACTTTTGATGCTGACCAAGAAAAACCTCAGGGAAATCTGGACAGCTGGTCACCTTACTTTCATTTCTAAATTAATAGAATGGAGGTAATATTGACATGATTAGAAAAGTATTTAATAATACTATAAATTCTTTACCTTTAAAGTTTAGATAATTGGAACATGAAAATAATCTTTCAAGAAAGCATTTCTTCTATAGAAAGCTTGAAATATTTGTGTAATTGCTTTGGAAATTTAAAGGTAAACTGATTTTGTGGTCATTTAAGGGAAAAAAAAAAGACTTATTTTATCCTTTAGTCAGATAGATGATTCCAACCAGCAAGTTGACATGCTATTAATGAAAATGAAAGGGAGGGCAGCCCTGGTGGCTCAGCGGTTTAGCGCCACCTTCGGCCCGGGGCATGATCCTGGGGTCCCGGGATCGAGTCCCACGTCGGGCTCCCTGCATGGAGCCTGCTTCTCCCTCTGCCTGTGTCTCTCTCTCTCTCTCTCGCTCTCTCTCTCTCTCTCTCTCTCTCTCTCTCTGTCTCTTATGAATAAATAAAATCTAAAAAATAAAAAAAAAGAAATTGAAAGGGAAAAAAATAATGAAAATGCCAGGAATAAATTATTTAAAAAATAGTCAATGTGGGAATTCTGATAAGATAAACCTTAATAATCAATGCTTTTAAAAAAAATACTAAGCAAATAAGAAAATAGTCATTTTTTTTGTACTTAGTTTTCCGAATTGTGTGATGTTTGTCTTATTAAAACTAGATAGCCAGTGGTTGTTGCATAACCCTTTCTTTCCTTTTTATCTAGCAATGTATATGGTCCTACCCTTGAATTTTTATGATAGAACTTTAAAAATAGTTTATTATCATTCTTTTAATTTATAATTTTTATAATTTTTTTAAAAAATAAGGTTAAACAAAATAATATCAGGAATTAAATTACAGACTCTTAACAGTGTGTGCTGTATGCTGATCTTTATTCTGAATTCACTTTAGGTATCAGCCTACTTTTCTGAATAAGGGAGCACTTAAGTTAATTGCTTCATTAGAAACATGCATTTAGTCCTTTCTGATCTGTTAAGTACAACTCCTTGGCATAGCTGCAGAAGTTTGAACACCTGCAGCCCAAGCAGCTTGAAAAGAAGCCGTAACTTAACTATAAAGGAAAATAAAAGAGGCTCAAGTTCAAAATTGTGTTATCAATGATATAGTGTTGTCACTAACTTGAGCTGACCTAAGAGTTGGCTTCTGCACTGCTCCTTATCAGCATCCAAAAGGGCATACAAAATTCTTTGTAAACTAATTTAAAAAGCGTCTTGTTTATTCAGAGGCAACTGTGAATGGTATTTGTTCAGAGTGTAGATCACATCAACTGCATACCAGCCAACAACTTATTTCTCTTCTAAGAAGGAAGCCAAGTATCAAAGACACAGAGTACTAAAGATAAGCTTCTCAATTCTCAACTGTTCTGAGCTCTCAATAAAGCTACTGATGTACAAATTGGGGTGGGACCCAACTGTTCCCACCTGCAGACTTGTCTTAGATCCTTGGCTCTGGCTGGGAGAGGTGCTGATACGAGTGCGACCTTTAGTGCCCTTAGAAAACAAAACACAGGGTTTCTTATGGCCCTAATCAATCAGTCCCTCTAAAGAGGATTCCAGTATTCTTCGAGTATTCTTGGGGCAGAAAAACTATGGCTGACTATTCCCATTTACAGGGCTGCTGAAAGTGAAGAGATCATTGGTTTGCTCTTATAATTCTTAAAAGACATGGCAGGTCATCCTTTTTTCCTATGTTTATAATTGGTTCTTAGGTATTTTGTATTTGATATTTAATGAGGTGGTGACTTTAGTAAGTAAAGGAATAAATTTCATTCAAAAGTGGTTCAAATAGTATATTATCAAGAAATTAAAAGGCAGTTAATATGAAGAAAACGTTATCCAGGCTACTGAGGCACAAAGTATTTATAGGATATTGAGTGGTCACATTTGGGCTATTCATGTTAAGTGCTTAAACATGACTCACAGGTAGCATCCAAAGTTTCAATTCTGAGTTTAGTAAAGTAATGGAATCTTTAAAATAATACAATTTAACTTTAGCTATAAGTACCTAGGCTTGATCAGAAAATTGGAAAATATTTAAAACAGGAATAATTTGAGATATTGTTAAAACTAATTGATCCCTGGGTTCCCTGGGTGGCTCAGTGGTTTAGCGCCTGCCTTTGGCCCAGGGTGTGATCCTGGAGACCTGGGATCGAGTTCTGCGTCGGGCTCCCTGCATGGAGCCTGCTTCTCCCTCTGTGTCTCTGCCTCTGCCTCTCTGTCTCTGTCTTTCATGAATGAATAAATAAATAAAGTCTTTAAAAAAAGAACAAAACTAAACTAATTGATACCTAAATGTCTTTTTAACATTCTTGAGATTAAAGCCCTCTATATCATTGTGAAAGTAGGATGAAGCATCTGGAATATTGAATGTTAAACTACTTTGTATAATTAGCAGTTTGTCCCTTGTTTCCAATAAAATAGCAGTGAAACCAATTGCTGTTTTAGAGCAATTCTAAGTGCTGAGTTTTCCTTTCACAAAGTAACATTAATTGCTAACAATAGTCATGTGAGGCACATATAAGAAGAAATAACCTGTGCAAGTGTGTATCTATGTATTTGTATATAAATTAGGAGAGAGGCAAGAAGTGGCCTTCATAAGTAGTTTTTATGACCTTCCTCCCCTCTGAAGTTGTGGGTTTTAGGCCTATTAGAATTATATAAGTCTCTAACTATGTGTCTTTTTCAATGATTGGCATTGAAAAATAGTAATACACATTTTCCAGGAATTTTCAAATTTAAGGATTAAAGAGCAAGTGGGTAATAATAAACTATGTTAAGTGCTTTGACTAATTGATTTAAAAGAAAATATTCACAAACGGATAAAGCATTTCAGAAGTAAGCATACTGAGGCAAAAAAAGATGTCAACCTAGGAAAGATTTTTGACTAAATATTTAAAAATAATTATATTTTTTCAGTGATTATGATGTAGTTAAACCTATAAACTTACATATTTTTAACATGTAAACATGTTTTATTGATGTGGCTACAAGTATAGTTATTTTAAACTTGGTCTTTTATTGGGAAGAGTAATAAACAGTCTTCTGTTTACACTTTAGTAGAAGTTAGAATTATTGTTAATTTACCAATTTGGAAATATCTTACACTCTAAATTTTAGATATTTTTTTTTCTTTTATTCTGGAAATTGCCCTGCTTCCTTGTGCTTTTTACTGTAAGATACAGCAGCTCTAGCATTCTATAATTAAGCATCCCTCCCACTCCCAGAAGATAGAGATCCGTAGTAAGTTAGTTTTGTTTTGCGAAGAGCTGACAAAGTGGGTTGTTTTTATTTTCATATTCAATAGTGTGAAGAGCTGACAAAGTGAGTTTTTCATATTCAGTTGTTTTTTTCATACTCAGTTGTTAATTGAGAAAAATAATATTCTTTATGAGAACGTAATAGTTTTAAATTGAGAAGGCAAATTAAAACTGATTTAAAAATTTGCTCTTGTTAAAACTTATTAATCAGTTATCCATGAAGTGGCAATTGATAATTTACTTTTGGATTTTTATAGCATGTTATATATATACTGATCTTAAAAATTGAAGAAATTTAACACTCTTCTCCCCAAATAAAAGATTAAGGACTTTTTTAAAGCTTTTTTTTTTTTTTTTCAGGATTACCTAAGGAAGAGATTCCTGCTGTGTGATTAAAGAATAATTCTCTCTAGCTTTTCATGTCTGAAAGTTTGTTCCTTTGTTTCTGATTTTGACTTTTTATACTGTTTTCGCTTTGCATGTTTGTAATTGTTAGGGTATTTTTGTTTTGCATGTTAGCTTCTACAGTTCAACATCTCTTAATGAAGTGCACGTGGTCAAGGGATAGCTCAGTATTAGAAAAAGTATAGTTAGTTGCTTTGAACCAAATATATGTTGTATCACGGTTTGGTAAGTTTGAGGTCAATCTGGGCAAGATTCTAGAATAAATTACCAGAAGAATGGTTTGTGAATTCAGATAAGAAGAATTTCTAATCATTAGAAATGAAAGTGGGGTCAGTAAGAAAAGTCTTGACTCTTCATATTGTTAGTTATAGTAACTTTTCTCAGCGTACAACTTGGGCAACTCATCTGCCATTTATGGGCCTCTGTTTTTCTTATCTATAAAAATTATAAATCAGTATTGAACAAAACTATGGTTTACTGAGTTTGGTGGTTGGCTATTGCATGTTTTGTTTTGTTTTACTTATTTCCTTGTTGCTTTGTGTAGCTGAGAGACCGATATACAGAATATCACAATTTCTTAGTCACGATTTCTTGGAAAAATACTAATCTTAATCTTTTATAACAGGTGACCAGAAATGGAGAGAAAAGTAAGCAGAATTTGTCTTGCTTCTGAACCTGACATAATTCATTTTCTTCAAGTGGCTTGGGAGAAAACACTAGCATATGGTTTTGTTATTACGCTTACTGATGGTCAGTCAGCATGGACCGGGACAGGTAATATTCAAAGCAAATTTTTTAAAAGTAAAATTTCAGTAATGTGCTGTTCTTCAGTCCTCAGTGACACTTCAAATTAGGGTGTTTCTTTACTTAAATGCTGGGTGAAATTAACATGATTGTTGTACTTATTGTTGCTGGCTAATTTACGAGTAGGTTTATAATATTTAATGCCAGTTTCTATAATTAATATTAATAGAAGGATAGAGACATAAGCATGTGTCCCACCAAATTCTGGTTACTAGATGAGTCGTAATACTTGGAGTTGGTCAGGGTTTTTAAATAATCTCTTTATAGAAAACATAAATAAGACTTTATGTAAGTATTTCTTTTTCAAGACCCCAAGGAAATATTGGGAGGCATAGGGAGGTGGGTTGGATGGGCCAAGGGATTGTGTTAGCTTGATGGGAGTGGGGTGGTGGTGATTTTCTTTTTATTTCACACACGTACATTGTTTGAATTATTTTCTAGTGAACATGTATTATGTTTGTGACAAAAACAAAATGGAACTCATAGCCTAAAATTTTGTAAGCCAAGGTTCAAATCAATATGTGGGATTTTGGCTATTATTTCATGAAGTAGACTTTAAATATTTTGTATTTTTGGCAGTGCTCTTTTAAAAAGTCTAATGGCTCTGAAGTTATTTATAGAATATGACAGGTATAAAGTGAAAATGTATAGATTTATATTTTGATCATATAGCGAAATTTTCATTCTTTTAAAGGATTTTTTGAAAGATTTGAAAAACTATAGTTATGCAACAGTCTTTTCTAGAGTTATGTTGTAAATAATATTTAGTTAAAATAATTTTGTCATGTTAATTTACTACCATTTATATCTTCTATCAATTTTGAAATATTTCCTAAAACTTGTTAGTCTAATTACTATATCATCTTTTAAAATTACATGGTGAGGTTTTGTTTCATTCTTGGAAGTTACAAGTTCGGTTACACAGTACAAACAATTATACTTACAGCATTTTATAAGAAGTTCTTTTATTGACAGAGATCAAGGAATGCTGATTTAAGTATTAATAAAATAAGTTTCATGGATAATGTTTGTAGTGCCTGTTACAGTATCTGTTTAGGTTGTAAACTTCCATTTAAGAGAAATCAGTTGTTGCTTGATTGTTGCCATGTAGGAGTGGAAGAAAATGTTCAGGTTAGCTCTGTGTGTGCTGAAGGTGTACCCAGGTGGCAATAGCTCTATTTTGGAAAGGGGGTGCATGGGGCTGAAGATAATGGCAATAGGTTAATGCCAGTTGTCTGGAGAGAAGAGCAGTTCCAACTACACTACAGCCCAAGAGGCAGGTCCTAGGTGAAGTGGTGGCTCGTATGTAAGGAATACTATCTTTATAACATAGATATTCTCAGCTGAAAAATGACTTATTATATATATCAGTTATGATTAGACAGATGACCTTGAGATGCTTTAAGGGCCTTAATTAGCAAAAGAAAATATTAAATTCTAATTTAGTTGGTAAACCTCATTTACCAAAGCAGAGAACAATAATATGTTGTTTGAATTTTTTTTTTATCATTAAGGATTGGGAATAAAAGAATATACAGATTAACTCTTAAATCTTGATTTAACCAGAAATTTAAGTTGACTTTACATTTATGGAACGCTTTGTGTACATCATACAAAATGTGCTGGCAGTTCTTAGTATTATGAATATTGTTTCACTAGATTCATTAGGAGCGAGGAATGCACTTGATTTGTCTGTCACTCATTCTTGATAAGTATCTATACCAGTGCCTGGGACCTACATGTGATAGGTATTTAATAACGATATTAAAGGTTTTTTTTTTCAACGATTTTAAAGTTTTAAATCTCACAAATGTTTTATGTATCTTTCATTATTTCTATTTTCTTGTATAAATTTCAGGGAGGAAATATCAAACCAAATAATATAACATTGTTTCCATGTTTAGTTAAAGCTTATTACATAAATATGATTTGGTTTGGCACTTTATAGATAGACAGTAAGATGATTAAGAACATTGAAACAATTATATAATTGAAACATGAAAATGAATTTCCTTCCTATACCTCATCCTGTTTTTTTTTTTTTTTGTACAACTTTTTGATTGCTGCAACCTTCAATTTGGATAATTTTTTTCTCTTTTCATTTGAGTGAAATTAAAAGGATGTGGGGTTCCTTTTAATCTCCCACACACTTAAATTCACTGATTTCTTTTCCATTAGTAATGTTTTATCTAATGAATGTTTTGAGGTGTAATTATCATGTGGTCTATCATCACTTCAACATTATAGAGGGTTGTATTGCAGAGTTAAGTCACAAACGTAGGTTAATGATTGTTGACTATTATGTGACCTTTATAAGTCTATTGGTCAGCAGTAGGAAACTTCTATCACCCATCTCTGGAGTAATTCATTGAAAAGTAAACTTTATTAATACATTTATTATCAGGTAATTATATACATTTATATTTGTTCTAAATATGGATATGTGACAGAGTTCAGAGAAAAGAGGATTTTTAATAAATGCAGTAAGGTAGGTCCATGCTGTGATACCAGCAAGATCCCTAATGAGATGATAGCACTGTCTTCAAAGCTCTAGCACAAACTTAGGCTATGCACAGTCTCTGGTGCATTATACTTAAAAATCCAAAAGAAAAAAAAAAAAACTTCTTTCCTTACTTACATCTTCATCTACCCACAAATAGTGTTAAAATTATGCTTCCTTGGATTCTGTGTGTCTGAGAACAATTCCTTGGTTTTTGGTCATGTTGGCCTGCTCACTTTTTATGCTGTTATTATGTGGTTCAGCTGTATCCTTGCTGAATTTTATTATTTCCATGGCTTTTATTTCTGGTCACCAAAGTTTTTGGAGCAGTGAATGCTTACAGCTGTGCTTCTTCCAGATGTTCTTAGCACAGAATTCAAAACTGGTGACCAAGTTGTTTTTCCAGGACTGAGGTTCTAAATGGGCAGTCAAAATTTCACATTTACTATTAATAGAAATATTCAAGTAAAATTTTTCTTAATTTTTTCTCACAGTTTTTAAAGGGGAAATATAAATAGAAAATTTTCTTTCATATGTTTTTTCCTCTTAAGAATGAAATATTTTTATTCCATAATAATAGAACATCATTCACAGATGGTGTAACGTAAGGGAATATCTAAGATATCAGCACTTGAATCTAGGCTGCATAAGGCTAGAATTTCTGTTTGCTAAACTTTTATATCCTTGGTGCCTAGAATAGCACTTGACATGTCGTAGATGCTGAATAAGCATGGTTTTGAGTAAGTGAATTGAACCAATAAATTGTATGAAATATTTTCAAATAGTATCTTTTCATTTTAATGAAATTTAGAATGCTTTTCACTGTATATGTTTTATCAGTGGACATACTTCATACTTTATTTCTTTTGTGTCTTTTTTTTTTTTAAGATTTATTTATTTGCGAAAGAGAAAGAGAGTGTGCATGTGCAGGGGGAAGAGGGAGAAGCAGGCTCCCCTCTAAGCAGGGAGCCCGATGTGGGTCTCTGGGATCATGACCTGAGCCAAAGGCAGATCCTTAATGTACTGAGGCACCCTCTTGTATTATCTAATAAGTTCTTATGTAGTTGCATTAAAGATGATTTTACAGATTTATTTCCTATTTCTCTGTGAAGTATTTTCTCTTCTTAGGTATTTATAACTCTTCAGCATTACCCAACACAAAATATGAAATCATTCCTTAAATAGGAAGCATTAGTTTTTATGTTTTTGTTTTATTTTGTTTTCAGAAGAGCTAATAGGGTAATTGAAAGGTCAGTAGATTTGATAGTAGCCATCATCTTAAACATGCAACTGCTTCACAAAGAGACAAAATATATGAAGGGATTTTAGAAACTGTAAAATCGCATAAAAGTTCTTATTCTTACCTCTTTTCAAAGTCTGTGTTGAGATCCATATTTCACTATAAGAAATGACCAAAAATGGATAATGAAAAATATATGGATATGTTTCAAAACTCTCTTCCTCTTTTCCAGAAACACTTGATAGCACACAGACCAAGGTATGAGAATCTTATATTTTTAGGGATTCTTTAGTCAAGTTTTCATTGTTTTCTGTAGTATATCTTATTAATGTGTTTTTTTAATACCATGGAAAGAAATAGTGTTTCCAGGGTCCTACATCTGCCTTACCACAAAACCCAATAACTGAGAAACCATAACTATGAATCCCAGTTTGACCACTATCTATTCCATGACTCTAGACCATTACTTGATCTGAGCCTCAGTTTTATTATTTGAAAAATGAAAATGTCTATCTTTCAATGTTAGTAGGAATAAAATAGATAAATGTAACCTTTAAATATAGAAGTATAGAACCACATGAGTCTTTCATCATTGTAGTAGCCTGGATTGACACAGGAAACCACCCAACCACACACACACATTCCAAACAAATGTTAGATTAAGTCTTGTAATTTTTAAAGCAAACAGATACATTTTAGCTTTTGAATGTGAGAAAGGGAAACCCCTATGTGGCCATCCATAAAAGGTATCTGAAAGCCAAAGTGGTTAATGGGAACTAAAACTTAACTATAGGTTCACGGAATATCTGAACTAAATATATGTCTAAATGACTGTGATTGTAGTACCTAAGTGGGGCGGAATGTTGGAATGACAGGCCTCCTAAGGAACTGGAGCTCAGCTCTCAATGTAAAGAAAGGAAACTGAAAGTTACCTTGTTAATGAAATCCTCATATAAAAAAGCAAGACAAAATAAGAAAAGACTACTCTCTGGTTTGAAGATGCAGCATAGCATCAAGCTAGTCACTAAGAGCCATGAGTGGATAAAAGTCCAAACAAAAATCACAACCCTAAGTCTGTGTTGTGTATGGATGAAGGACAGGGATTTAAGTTTGAACTCTTTGCTTCAAGTGTAAAACCAAGTTAAATTAATTTTCCATGGGGTGATTGGGTGACAGGCAGTAAGGAGGGCACTTGATGGGATGAGCACTGGGAATTTTACTATATGTTGGCAAATTGAATTTAAATAAAAATAAATGAATAGTAAATAAAATAAATACCATCAAAAAAAAAAAAAAAAGAAGAAGAAAGAAATTAACTTTCCATAGCTATTGAAAACTGTAGAGGCTCCAAGAAAGGTAAAAGAGCAACCTTGATTCAAAACTCACCTCCTCTTTTCCAGAAACACTACTCTGGCTAGAAGGGACCCTTATTCAAATATTGCAAAGCATAAGGGAAAAACCAGAATGAGAGTGTGTCAGCAGGTAGTAGAAATGGAATGAATACTTCAGGAACCATGCATAAAGACTGATCTGAAAGAGATCTTGAATATGTTTCAAGCCTTCAAGTATTTAAAGGAAGGGTGTGGCAAGAACAGGATATTATGAAAAAATAAGAGAATATCTATTTAGAATTGAGAATATAAAATCAGTAAAAATCTCTGTAGTAAAAAGAAATAGAATCTCTAGGATGCCTGGGTAGCTCAGCAGTTGAGTGTCTTCCTTTGGCCCAGGGCCTGATCCTGGAGTCCTGGAGTCCTGGGATTGAGTCTCCCATCGGGCTCCCTACATGAAGCCTGCTTCCCTCTCTGCCTATGTCTTTGCCTCTCTCTCCGTGTCACTCATGAATAAATAAATAAAATCTTAAAAAAAAAAAAAGGAATCTCTGTAGATGAATAAAGCATTAACTTTCAGTATACCTAGATGAGAGAACTGGAAGCCAGGTCTGCAACATGTGTGTATGTCCAACAGGCGACACTCAGTAAATATTAATTCCCTTCTCTTTTGTTCCTCATCATCTACCATCATCCACCTTCTTTGTTTTTTGGCACATAATGAGATAAGAAGAATGAACTCCCATTTTTACTTTAATTTGACTTAGTCCATTAAATAGAAATAGACTAATGTCTTTAATAATTGAGGCGAGAAAGATGTTATAAAATACTGAACTAATTAATCATTATAAGAAATAATTTATCTGGCTTTGACCTAGTAGCAAATATACAAGATGGTAGTTTTTCTTGTAATTTATAATGCATGTGTTTCATCTGAGGACAGAGAAAAAAAAATGCAAGGAGTCTAATGTTTTTCAGATGAGATTTGAGACTAATGTGTTTCTCAAAAATTGCTAGTTCAGTTAGAAGGTATAATTTGACTTAAAAATATGTGGTATGGGGATTGGTTTTACCTTTTGTTTTAATTTCTGTTACATAAGTGATAAATGAGTAGCAACAGGTAAATGAATACTTTCTCATGTTTAGAAATTTATTTTTCATTTCAAAACTTTTTTTAAATGTCTCCCATAGTTTCTGAATCAGAGATTTCCCAAGAAGCCGATGACATGGCATTGGAAAAAGAGAAATATGTTGATGAAGTGAGAAAAGCGTTGGTATCAGGAGGAGGACCAGCTGGTTCATACATGTTTGATTTTTCTACAGAGTCTTGTCATTTCTCCTTTGAGAAAAACCTGAAAGAAGTTTCAGTAAGTAAAACTTTCCATAATATTTTAAGTGGTAAAGTGTCAGAGTACTTACTGAGGAATTATCTTAAGTAACTAGCTTATTATTCCCAGAATACCTGGGTAATAGAAGTGTGAAGAGTACTTGGTTTCCAAGTTGGAAGAATGCTTCTTCATTCAATGTTACAGTCATTAAATGCTTCATACTGATGAATTGTGAAAAAATAATATTTGGAAAATGTATTTGTTTTTAGTGCTTTAAAAATAAGTATTGTAGACATAATTATATGAACGAGCAGTTCTGCAAATTGGGGTCAGAAACTTTAGACCAATGAGGCAAGGTTTATTGTAATAAATTTTGGAAAATGCTGATCTTAAGAAATAAGGTAATTTACCATTGAATATTTAATAATTATAGCTTATTCTCTACTTTATAGAATGTATTTGAAATTACAAAATGAGGTAATTAAGTGTATAGTAAGAGATATCATTAGGCATTAAGGTATTTTATTTATATTTCAAACTTAGAAATACTAAAATAGAAGTAACTTTCAACCCAAGCTTTTCAAGGCTTGCATGCTTTACAGATAAGGATATCTGCTACTTGTCCTGTTTAGTTCCTATACCAATTCAGATCAAGGTGGGTGGTTTATGTTGGTTTATGTATCAAAAATATTTATCAAAATGTACTGGTTGTATATTTTACCCAAGTTTATGGGATAATTAGAGATTGAATTATTTGCTATTGCCAGTGGTTTCCATTCTGATATGAGGTCTATAGTAGAAGAAAGGAAGGGAAATCTTTAGTACATTAAGGTTAGAGACGGTTATTGACAATTTGTGCTGGAACTAAATTGAGTTTAAAAAATTCCTTGAAAATGACTCTAATTCAGAATGATTAAAGGGATTTCAGCAATTAGAGAAACATGTAAAGCAACAGATGGAATCATTATTTTGAAATGTATGTTAACCTATAGAGAATGATACAGAAAGATTGGTTTCAGTAATTATTTCTGTTTAGAAGACACAATTTTTCTACTTAACCTGCCAATTTATGTAAATTTCAATATGCTGAGATCCTTAAGATGATAATTTAGAATAGGTTAAGAAAGGTTTGAATGGGCTACTGAAATTTTGTTATCACAAAGTATTCTTTGCTATGGCCCAAATTCAATCAGATGATATTATGTACTCTATAAAACTACACTTTCTTTTAATATTTTGAAGCAGATAATTGTCAAATTGGGAGTTAAACCTTTTCCCATTCAACAAGCATTTGTGTGTAAGGACTAACATTTTTTCAAGAAGCCAGTTTCGGTTTTCATCTCTTTTGTGTGCAATGATGCAAAACAAGTTCCAAGTTTGTGAGGTACCTTTTGGAAACCTGAAAGGCTTCTGGTATCTTTGACATTGTGAAGAAGGGGTTTGCTGCATCAGGCTTGGATGGAGTACTTACCATGCTTGGGGAATACATCTGATTTTGTGAAGAAAGAACTTCAAGTATTCATGACCTACATATTTTACAGTTGGCTTGGCATGAATTAGCATTAAAAACTGGGGCAATTATCCTAAAAGATATCTTGCTTACCACCCTGAACGTAATCAACTTTGTTGAGACAGAACCATGAACCACTACCTATTCCGTAGAAGAAGTGGAATACAGAAGGAGAGATTCTCAGTAACTGCAGAAATGTGTTGGTTCCTTAAAGGAAATGTCTTAAAGTGCTATGCTGCAGTTTAGATCACTGCCTCCTTATTTATCATCTACTAAATTTGCTTAGGAGAGAAAGAAAGGCTACTCTCAGGACAGTTTGACGAGTTTATTCATGACTAGACTTACTTGAGGGATATTTTTGGATATTTGACTGAAGTAAAAGTATCAGTTTGAGGTGCTGTAGTTAGTTAGCCTTATAGAAGCAAATGAAAATCACAAGTTCACTTGGCCTAACCACCAGGGACATCTTTCACTGCTTCAGGATGTGCTTCTGCATGTTGAATCTCAGGGTGACAACATCTAGTAAATCACGCTGCTGGTAAAGATACGCAGATACTGGGAAACATGACAGGACACTTTTTGAGGTGTGTAGTGCTTTGGATGACCTAAAACCTTAAAAGGAATTTGCAATCCTTTCCTTGATGACACAGACATCTGATAGTTGCCAAAAATGATCCCTTACACTTAGAAAAAAAGAAAAGAATGAACGTAGATTCATTTCAAAAAGTTGTAGTGAATTGTGCTGTTTGTTGGGTTACTCTCCCTGGGCAAAAAATATTCCATGAATCCTAAGTACATTGACTACCAGATTCATACCTCTCAGAATCATGGTTCTTAGGCATTTGCTGCCATCAGTTTAAGAAGTTTTATGTTTTTAATTTTGTACTGGAGATCACTGCATAATTTGAATATTTTGAGTATTTATTATTATGACATACTTGGAATTTATATAAGATGTTCTTCTATTAAAAAAAAAGAACTTAGAGGCATCTGTCTGGCTCAGCATGTGACTTTTGATCTCCGGGTCATGAGTGGAAGCCCCACATTAGACGTAGAGCTTACTTAAAAAAAAAAAAAAAAAACTTTTTAAAGGAAGTAACTATTGATATTTGCACTCAAGAAGACTTGTGTCTTGAGAAATACTATCTTGTGTTTTATTAGAGTGAAATAATTGTCAATCCAAAGCAATGAAATATTAAAAACATATATGTTATACATATTTTGAAGGTAGCATGTACTTAATTTTCATGAGATTGCTTCTGAGCTCGTAATATCCAAAGTTTCATTTATGCTCTAATTAGGTTATTATTATTTTTTAAGATTTTATTTATTTATTCATGAGAGAGACAGAGAGAAAGAGAGAGGCAGAGACTTAGGCAGAGGGAGAAGCAGGCTCCTTGGGGTTGCAAGACCCCAGGATCATGACCTGAGCCAAAGGCAAATGCTCAACCACTGAGCCACCCAAGCATCCCTCTAATTAGTTTTTCTTTGTGGATAGTATAGGTGTTTTTATTTTAGCTTAATTCTCATTGGAATAAATGTTGAATGATATGTGAGACATTACCTTTTTTTCTCCATATGGGACAAACCTTCCTGCCTCATCACCAGGGCTCTTCTGTTGGCAATGGATTATTCTAGATGAAAACATACTCTGATGCAAGCCTTTAGAACTCATTATGTCTTTACTGTAGTAGTAGCTGCATTCAGAAGACTACTTACATACTTTGTGTCACTGTTTTTTCTTTGCCATTCACAATTCATGCTGGTTTTGCAATATATTCTTTGTCACACAAACAATACCTCTTAATAATATTTTCCATTTTTGCTTTCATGACTTGTTTCTTCAGAAAAAAATTGTTTATGAGCCATTAAAAAAAGACCTAATAATATTTGATAAAAATAACCTTGGGCTCATTATTTGCTTGCTCATATCTCTGTTTTCTCATCTATTATTTTAAAGTAGTTTCTTGTGTTCATTTCAGGTCACCTAGCATACTACAGTTTTATATTTCTAAAAATGGTCCTAATGAAGGAAAGCCATGAATTTTGAAGAACAAATAAACATGATATACACACACATGAGGATTGGCTACAGGTCTCTACTACAAATAAAGTCTATTTTTATTTCCTTTTCCTTTGTCTCCCCTCCCTCTACCATCAGAAACTGAGATACATTTAGGCTGAAAATTTGACAACTTAAGTACCATGGAGGCTTATTCTTCTCTGATTTAAAAATCCAAATAGGCAGTCTTGGGTTAATATGATGGCCTTATGATGTTGGAGGCCCAGGCTTTTCTAATCATGTTGCTTTTATATGTATATAAAAATATATATATTATACATATATATATATCCATGAGAGACACAGGGAGAGAGGCATGTACTTTCACTTCACCCTGTGGACTTGGTGTTGTCGCTATTTATATGTGGGGAGCCTGATGTGGAACTCAATCCCCATCCCTAGACCTGGGATCATGCCCTGAACAGAAGGCAGACACGCTCAACTGTTGAGCCACCTAGGTGTCATTTATTTATTTATTTATTTATTTATTTATTTATTTATTTATTTACCATTTTTAACAGGCAGTTTTTATCTCATGGTTCAAGAAGGCTGCTCTAGCTTCACTGTATGTTCATGTTTTAGGCAACATGGCTGAGTTAAAGATAAAATAAAGAGCATGTCCATTTTCTTGAAGGCCATCACATAAGGTCATATACATTACTTTTGCTTACATCCCATTGTCCAGAACTAAGTCACAAAGCTTCACCTAGCTGCCAGACAATCTTTAGCTGTGTCCTGTGCCCAGAAATTTCCATTCCTGTGTAAAAAGGTGAAGGAGGGATATTGAGGGACAGCTATCAGTCTCTGCATGTTAACATTTAAGAGAGATTGAAACATCATTTAGGAGGGCTTACTTTTATTGTTATGGAGGTATTTCTGTAGAATTTTCCTTACAAATAATTGTTTCAGTCATATTTTAGTTCCAAAAATGTTGCAACATATAGTGAGTTACTGGCTAGTTTGTATTTGTATATATTGTCACTTTTTAAGTAAAAAAAAAGTATTCCAAGTTCAAATGACTTCCTTACAGTTATTTAATTTTCATTCTCAGTTGTATAAAAATGAGTTCGGTAAATTAGCTGGGGTACCTGGGTGGCTTAGCGGTTGAGCACCTGCCTTTGGCTCAGGGCATGATACTGGGATCCCGGGATCGAGTTCTGCATCAGGCTCCCTGCGGGAAGCCTGCTTCTCCCTCTGCCCGTGTCTCTGCCTCTCTCTCTGTATCTCTCATGAATAAATAAATAAAATCTTTAAAATAAAAAAAATAATAACAAAATAAGCCAAAAGCAGCCAAAGTTGTTTGTAAAAACACTAGTGCAAAATCTTGTATTATTACCACGTGTCCCTGTGGTTTGGGGACTTTGAATTCAAATGGGTGTTTCCACGAAGGCAAAAGAAGCAAAAGCAAAAATGAACTATTGGGACTTCATCAAGATAAGAAGCTTCTGCACAGCAAAGGATACAGTC